AGTAAATAATGTAAACAAGCAATAACAATTCTTTTTGGTATTTTGGTAAACACTTAGAGTGCAAAACTTGATTCTAATGCAATATTAATAAATTGTTGGGGTTTGACTTCACTAAACCTTCCTCTCATGCTTATCACTAAGTTCACAATAGTTATTATTCAGAATTTATCAATCACTCTCAAAAGTAACCAACCCTAATCTCTTACAAGTTAGAATCTAAGTTGCTAACTTAAACTATCAATCTCTTGCATAGTTTAACCAAGAAACCAGCTTTAAAAACAAGGGCTTAAGAAAGACCAATGGCATTTACTCTATCTCTAGCAATAAGTACCATTAGCTTCTCTATTTCATTTCAAAGGTCTAAAATCATTTCTCAATCTCTTAAAAACCTCAAGTTCAAGTTAAGGGTGGTCAAGCCATAACAAGCATTATGCACATAAACAGAGCAATAAAATTGAATAACAACTAACATTGATCACTTAGAGTTTACACATGAGAATGATTTTAGTTACATCAAACCCCAACAAGGGTGAAGTTAGCTACACATAGACATGTAGAACTTAACAAATGATGAAGAAAGGAAGAAGCTTGATCTTGAAGGTTCCAAAGCTCTCCAGCCGCCACACAAACTCCAAGAATGATCCTCCTTGCTTCTCTTCTCGAAAATCTCACTTTTAGGTCATAAAAGCTTTTGTCTTATGTGAATAATGACATGTCAACACAATCCTCGCTAAGCGTGAGAAGCCACGCTAAGCTTGAGGATATATAGGTCTGGAGTGAAATGAGGTTCTGGGACTCCCACACTCAGCCCCAATTCAACGCTCATCGTGGGGATCAAAATTTTGTTCTAGGGATTCTCTGCCAAGCTGAGGCTAAGCCTGGATCTGGGGCTTAGCCTAGGGACTTAACCAAAAATTCCTTCAACTTCAAATTCACCACTTTGTGCTTGACTTCCTTCCTTCTTTCCTAGCTTTCTTCTAAACTACAAAACAACAACCAAATACTTGTAAGTTACCTAAAAACATTATTCAAAGACAAAATATGATCACCTAACAATTTAGATATATTTTGAGTTAAAAACAAGGTCTAAAGCAAGGAAAATTGATATAAGTGCTTCAAACTAGGCCATAAACTTAATGAAATCATGACACTTATCAATACCTAAACCCTTTTACTCTAGATACATAAAGTGACCAACAAAGTAAGTACAAGGTCAAAAGGTTAGTCCCTAACTGAGTACTGGAAGGACGTAATATTTGGAGGGTAGTTAGTGGACTAATCTCATAAAGGGCTTAGTGTCGTAAGCTAATTTCATGGTAGGCTTATACCCAAGTTGTTCTATCCTTATAAGAATGTTAGACTTCCTAGTTTAAGTGGAAAAATTCAAGAAATCATGTTGTTATGGATTAGTATCCAAATTGGTTGTTGATCTAGCAGGTGCAAAAAAATTGTGTCGATTTAGTAGGACCATGCCACTTAGACTTTTCACCTTGTTATAGGAGATCTTCATAGTTGAATGTGTGACGATGCATGTAATTAAGGTGTTATACATTTGATTTATTGATGTGAAGTTGTTCGTATGCGTTGTGACTATATTTTTTAATGGAATTGATGTGGTGAATTATGAAATTATCATATGTTGTTAAGTTGCTTACCTTGGTACGGTGTTGAATGTCATGTTGAGGTGTTTTTGTTGTGGTGCTAAGTTGTAGACCATGAGATGTATATTGTGCGGTTTACATGTTATTATTTATTGTATAGTTGTTTTAATTTTATACTTATATATGTTCATTCTTTTGAATACTAACTTACCCTTACATGTTTCCTTATAATTGGGTTGCAATGATCATATTTACATGCATGGGAGTAGGGTAGAGATAGGTTGGAGGAATTCGGCGTATTGTGAGCCATATTGTTGGTGGTGTAGCTGCATTCTACTTTTGTAGAGTTTTGTAGTGTTAATCGACAACCTAGATCTGTACATTTCATTTTTTGGGTTAGTGTATATATTTATATGTGTATAGGATATGTTTTGGTTCCATTGTTGAACCTTTACACTTTCATATTAGTTTTATCTTTATGCATATATTTATATTATTACTTGTATTTTCAGGAATTATTTGTATAATAATCTTAGGTAGATGTGTTTGTTTTCCATGATTAGTAGTCAATTTATTAAATGTAGGAATCACAATAGAGTGTTACAATTTCAAATTATAAAAAATTCATATAAAAATGATGAAGACATGTTTTTTAATGTGCAATAAAAATAATAAAGGTCAAACTTAACATTTCTTGAAACTACTTAAACTTGTACGAAATATTATAATTCCTTTTCAATGTAATATAATTGTAATTAACACTTTAACACTAAAAAAACAGTGCCAAACCAAATACCTCCCCCTCCGAAGAGTCCACCTGAAGCTCTCGTTCAGTCTTCATATTCCCCTGAAGATTACGAGTGTACCCTCAGGCAGGTACACTAATTAATGGTGCGTGTAGACTAAAATTTGATGTCCGGAAACATTATTCTTGGTGGAATTGTCGTTGTACCATTTTTATTTCCCGATGCAAAATGGTGGCTGGCGTTGCCACGTTGGACATGACGACATATGGAATTAATTGCGAATCTTGATGAGATTGAAAAATGAAAAAGACAAGGCCAAGCTGAAAGATAAGTTTCCACGTTAAGAAATGAGTCAAAATCGATTTATGAATCATGATGCCTAGAGTTTTTGTCAAATTGCTTTGTAACACAATTGACATGTTGATAGTGCTTCCAATATTTTGTGGAATACTTGAATGGGTCCTCGATAAATAAACGCACCCTAAAGCTTCTAAGTTTGGTAGTTAAAATATATGAGTGAAGACAAGGTAGCAGTCATAATGCCTGGCAGCTACAACAGGACTTGTTCTTCTATGTGTGTCAGTGTTCTGGGCATGGCCAAGGGCAAGAGGAAGAGAGTGTCATCAGAACCAACTAAGAAGCAAACAAGGTTTCTTCCTGATCTCAATTACCCCCCTCCTCCTGATTCAAGTGATGAAGAGGAGCAACTACTTTTTGTTGCTCAAAAAGATGAGGTTTGTCACTTCTTGTGTACATGTGGTCTTTAATTTAATATATCTCCTTACTTATATTAATTTCATACTAATTCCTTTCCTTTCTTTTAAATACATCCTAATATATTAATTCTTAGTTGTGTCAATCTCTCTATATATAAATTATGTGTCATTCATTCATCAATTAATTAATTTAATTGCAAGTACACTTATTAATTGTTATAAATTACTATAAATGCATTTTAATTATTTCAGGTTGTGTGGATTGGTGAAGGCAGTACTAGTGGTGCTGCATCAAGGGAAGGTGAGAGGGTAGAAGAAAATGAAAGTGAGAGTAGCTATAACTGGATCAAAGGATATTGGAACACGGTCCGCAAATGGATATCGTCAAGGAACAAGAAGAATGCTAGCTGGTGCTGAGTAACTCAAGGTCCAATGTCAAAGTGTTAAAGATTTAAGAATATATGTTTCAATAAGTGTTTTGTTTGATTTAATTTGATCTTTGTTGTGGGATATATAAATTAAGGTTAAATAAATTGGGGCTTCTTTCTTTTGAGTTAAAGAGAGATGGGGTGGGGCAAGTGTTGTATTATGGAATGAGTATATGTTGGAGAATTAATATAATTAATTAGTTATGAGTTGTGATATTAGATGTGTGGGTTATGAGCCGTGGAACAAGTTAAGTGAAAGGGATAAAGTTAAACTTCTCGTCATTTCAAATATAATATTGTCTGTTTAAAAAATTCAATATTCATTTGAAAATTTCACTGAAACAAATTACTAGATGAAGAAGGTATATTGATTTGTTCTCGTGCGTCCATTCTTTTGTCTTTTTTTAAATTATCAGTAATTAGTTGTGGAAATAAATTAAGATACAATCCGTGAGAAGAAAAAAAAGAGTATATATATATATATATAAACCAATTAAAAATTATTAATTTAAAACCCTACCATTTCTGAGTGTTCTCAATTATAAACTATTTCAAATACCATATAATAATTCAATCACATATTTTTAGGAATCTAGTTAATAAAAAACCCCTTGGTGTTTTAACCCTCAAGTAGCTATTTAGGATTAACCAACCTCTTATCTTAACTAGATGTATTAGATTAAAATTTGAAAGAATTTTAGATATATATATATATATATAAAATTTCTGAAATTTACAGTAATTAATATGTTTTTTTTTCCTCTATCTTGGCTGTTATAACATGTATAAAAAAGACCTCATCTTTGCACAAATTTGCAAGAAGAATATAAATGATACGCAAATTGGATTCGATATCAAATTTTAACTGATAGAAAAGAATTTAACCAACTATATCATCTAATTATTGGTGGGTTTGATTTGATGTGCTATTTCACCTTTTGGTCAATATGCCTTTTTCCCCCTCTATTGTGGCTGTTATAACATGCATTTATTATTCTTTCAATGTGGTTGTGAGCTCATAATTCTGCTGGCCCTAATTAACTGGACATTGAATTAGATTCAGATGGAAGCAAATAGGAAGTCAACATACAGAGTTAGAATCAGGTTGACCAGCAATTTATACAGATTTGGAATATCGCGGCTAGCTCCTCCAAAGGAAATGTTTTTCTTGTGGAGGCTGTTCCACAATGCCATTCCAACAACTGAAAATTTGGCAAGAAGGAATATGTGCAACAGCAGATGATGTGTTGCTTCTGCAAATCTGCTATCGAATCTATTTCACATATTTTCTGCACGTGTAGTAGGATTGATGGGGCTGAGGCTGATATTTACTGCTACATATAAGTTGCTGAGAAGGCTGATATTCATGGGGCTATAGGTTGTGGACTTGTGTCCCATAAAGTTCAGCGAGTTTGGGGAGCCAACTAGGGGTTCCTAGTTGTTCATGGATTGTTTGAAAAATCTAAACCGAACAAAATCACTTCATGAAAGTGAATCCGTTAATTAATAGTTTTTTTTATAAATTGGGCCGTTAATTTTTTTAAAATATGAATCAAATTTTTTTAAAAATAAATTAATTTAGTATGATATATACAATTATCCATTATCAATTTTTAAGAAAAATCAAATTATATTGAACCGATTCACTTTATAAAAATGATTTTATAAAATGAATTAGTTCAAAATTTTTTTAAAATGAATCCAATTTTTTATATGAATCAGTTTGATTATGAATTAGTTTAGATGGATTTAGATGTTTTACACACCTTAATTTAAAGCCAACAATATGAAGTGCCTTTGGGTTGGGAGTGAAATACAAGTGTTGTGATCTATATTTTCTAAAATTTGCTAAGTGAGGTACATAACATACAATACTCATGACTGCTGAAAGTTGCAGTGTAGTAGGACGATTCAGACAATTTAGAGTGGAAAGGAATCTTATGATTGGGTCTATATATCAGTTACAACCTTGTTTAACTAGTAATTTGCACTTATTTCAGTAAAAATTAAATCTAACCAGCAGATATGTGCCTTGACAGCTATGATTTGCTTTCTTGTATATGGGTTTATGGTAGCTCTGGTACCTATTTAACATATTACTTATTCGCTAAAATAAGAGAATTGTAATGAAGGATGTGAGAGATGGAGAGACTTAATTAAGATGGCTGCAGCTTCAAAGCTAGGTGCGTTGCATCCTATCCTGTATCATATTTGTAGGTGAAGATCTACTAGCTAATTAGCAAGATTATTTAAGAATATAAACCAAGAATTCTGGTACGGAAATAGTACTTATATTTCTGTTTTCACTATCCTATATCATACTTCTGATAACATAAATATCACCCAATGAGCAAGATCGTTAAAAATTAAGATTTGATAGTGGACCCAATGACACAGAAATTAAAGAAAACAAGAAGAAACAAAAAAGTGCCCAATTTATTGGCAGCAGTGGCAGACATATTGAGGCGCGCGTGAGACAACAATATGCATCCTTAATTCTTCCTAAAGAAAGTAATTAAGGATGTTGTTGATGAGGAATTTGATTTTGACCCATTTGGAACTAGTATCTCCCTCTTCACCTTCTTCTCGTATATTGGTTTTCCCGGTAGAAGAAGCAGCGTGATCAGCAACCACCAGAATTAACTGAAATAAATATCATTTAATAAATCATCAATCGATGGAAATGAATTAGTTCTCTCTCTCTCTCTCATTAAGAGTAAAAGTGACCTGATTATCATGATAAGCAGCCTGGTGGTCACTAGTATAGCTAACAAGGAGGTGGAGGTGGTTGGTTGAGATCAAGAAAAAGCCTTGGACGCTTCTTAGCTGCATTTGAGGATGAGACCCTCTTCCTCTTCCTCTCAGCCATGTGTTGTGTGCTATGCAAAATAACAAGTATGAATCCTCAACGCAAATGGGGTTATATATTTCAGATTCTCTCTCACACGTACGTGCACCAGGATGCCATGCTCAATCCACTTGTTTTTCAATAATTCCTTTGTCGCTGTCATTCCAATCAAGACAAAACTAGTAGTCGTACACAATGGAAGCAAATATGAAATTGAATTGGATCCTCTCCGCTCTCCACTCTCCACTCTCCACTCTCCACTCTCCGCTATCTCTAGGTACGTAATGTCAACTTAAAAAAACATTTCTCTTTCCCTTCCGCAAACGGTCACTTTTGTCCTTATCGTCATCCAATAAACTATGGGGGAATATTTGAAGCTTCATTAAATACTTTATATTTACGGGTTATTAGGTAATGGTTGGAGACTTAAAAATTCTTTAAAAGCCAAAACAAAAGAATTATACTTAAAAGCATTATTAAGTACTAATTACTAAAATATAATATATTTAATTTGGGAATATGTAAAATGTTTTTAAAAAATGGATGAATTTATCAAATGTTATCTGTTGACTACTTACATTAATAAATGGCCTCCAATTTCAGACATGGATCCAAATAAAGTACTATAACCTTTTCCGTCCCCAATTGATTGATTGATGTCATCTTAAACCTGAAAGACTATTTTGGTGATAGGCAAAGAAAATTTTATTGAAAATAAGATTGTAAGCACACGTACTTGAGCACTAGAAGTGCCAAAGAATAACCAAAGCAGAATATAGATAGCATTGTTGCAACCCAATTAGCGCACAAGCTAATAGAAAATAGACCACCACCCAATAGTATATACTATTTGTAACTTCTATCTTTCACCATATCTGATTTAACCTTCATTAAGTCAAAGAATCAAAGAAGGAGGACATTCTATATATTAGAGAGTCAATAATTTTCAGTGAGCCTTCTCCCTCCCTCTCACGTTTTTTTTTTGTTTCAATAGTAAAATGCTCTCGGCCTATCTTAATATTATAAGTCATTATTCAAAAGAAAATAATCAAACTATGAACTTCACCCAAAACAAAGAAGAAGAAATATTAATATGAGTATAATGCTCATGGATTGTACATTGTGTTGGTGTGATCCCAATTTTGTTGCAGACCAAAAGATCCTAAAGAGAACGAAAAGCCCAAAAGTAGAGGTAGAGAGGGGCGGAGTGATCAGAACTAAGCCGTGCGTTATGTAAATTAAGCCTGTTTACGTCTAAATAGGCCTTTTTATCCTTTATTTTTCTTACTCAACTATTTTTACATCTTTAATCATTAATTTTTAAGGTAGAGTAAATTGGGTTATTTACTTTTTTGCTTAAACCCAAAACACAAAAAGGGTAAAACAAAATAAGTATATACAATTAAACTATTTTAATTAGTTGGTTCATGATATATAACTTATTTTTTATATAGATACGCCTCTTTCTCTGTTTTCAAATTTTTTTAACTAAAATACCTTTCTAATCAATTTCTTGTTTTGCTTCAAAAAAAATCAATTTCTTGTTTCAAATAAATTTTATTTTAAAAATTATCTTTTTATTTACTCTCTCTAGCCATTCTTTCTTGATTTTTTTTTCCTGTTTGGTTCTTGATTCCTTTCTCTCTGACAATCTAAACATTTATATCGTATCTTTGGACTTTTAAATTTTTTTTTTTTTCACTTTCAACGTTATCATTATTTAGATCTTAATATTTTACTCTTTTCATTGATTTCTACATTTTCTATTAATAGTTTTTTTAATTTATTTATTATGACTTATACACAATAGGTAATTTGATACTTAAGGAAGAAATAATTCAGTGAATTTTTTGTAAATACATGTGTCCATAAGTGTTAAATCAAAAGATAATTTTAAATCCCTCAAGTTTTGAAGTTTTAATGTTAACAAACTAAACATTTTTACAAGAGAAAATATCTTTGAAAATAATTATTAGACAAAATGTGAGATATAGATCGTCTATAAGATGAAGTAAATCATACAAAACATGCAATCTATCTCATATACATTAAATGTTCATTATTTACTGAGACTAACAACAAAAATTATTTTGAATGTTTTATTCCTTAACAAATTGAACTAGAAAGCCATTTAAAATATGTGAAAGAGAAAAGGATCATGTTTCCCATCAGAACCAATGAAAAAGATTCCTAAAATCTTAGAGAAAAATATATAAAGTCACTACTATAGTTGCATTACATTGACATTACTTCTACAAGCTTCATTTGATATGGAAAGATGATAAGTAATTTCCTTATCAAATAA